TCTTTTATTGATATTTTATCTGTTGGTGAGAGACAAGCTTTCCAGCTACACACAGCTCTTCCTCAGGTCTGGGAATGGTACTTAGGGCATCACTGCCAAATACAAGATTGAACAGATAGTTTAGCATAAGTAGTTAACACATTCTGAGGCTCATTCCAGGTGAAGTGTCCAAACACTGCAGCATTAACAACCTCCCTGGGAACACCATCCTTGCCACCATGCATTTCACTTTCCTATACACCAACATTCCCCACAATGGCTGCATAGCTGTCTGCCTCAAATATTTACAAGACAATGGACAACCCTCAGATATCCACTCCATAGTATTGCCAAACTCATCCATTTCATCCTCACCCATAACAATTTTACATTCAACAACAAACACTTTGTCTAACCATGGGAACAACCATAGGTACTAGCATGGCTCCCCAGTATGCCATCCTCTTCATGGGACCTTGAAGAAGAATTTCTGGGTAAATGCACCACAGAAACAAGGATATTCCCTGGACACATCAATTATATTTTCATCCTCTGGACAGACCACTTAAAATCCCTCCTAATTTCCACCACAACTTCAGCAACCACCACCCATCCATGAAACTGTCTCTGGTATGCTCCCACGCTAACATCAAATTCCTGGACATCACAATCAGCTTCAACAATGGAACCCCACAGACAACTACATACAAGAAACCCACGGATCAGCACACCTATCTTCATAGATACAGTAACTACCCCAGATGCACCAAGAAATCTATCTACAGCCAGGCACTCAGATACCACAAAATATGCTCTGGGGAGAAAGTTCGGGATACACATTAGCACACTCAAAACCACTTTCACCAAACAAGGATACTCCACCAGAGAAGTAATTCACATCATGGAATGGGCCACCCAAGTACTCCAAGAGAGCCTGTTATAATACAGAAATAAAACCCCCTCTGACCACACACTAGTTGTCACCTACCACTCAACACTGGAACCCATCTGGGGTATCGTCAAACTACTACCACCCATACTCGATGGAGACCCCATCTGAAAGAAATCTTCCCTGAACTCCTTTTTCTGGCCTTCACACAACCCCCACGACCTCTCCAAGATCATCATCAAAAGCAGGCTCCCCACAGACCAGGACACACCAACTCAAAGCAGCATCAGGCCCTGATAGAACAACAGATGCAAAACTTGCAGACATGCCTCCACTTCTACAGTGATCAACAACCACCGACAACACACCTTCCAAGATCCCTGGGTCCTACACATGCCTATCACAACATGTGGTGTACCTCATCCACTGCACTAAAGGCCCCAATAACAACTGTGTGGGTGAAACCAGACAATCCTATACTCTTAAATGAACTCTCATAGGAAAATGATAAAAGACAAGAACACCATCTCACAAAACGATCTTTCTATACCTGACCTATCTGTCCTCATCATCAAAAGAAACCTGCACAACACTTTCAAAAGATGAGCTTGGGAGCTAAAATTCATAACTTTTGCTAGACACTAAAAATCATGGACTGTATAAAGACACAGGATTTATGGCTTATTACAACAATCTGTAACCCACTAACTCCCCTTTTTGTCTTATGACTACAAGGATATTAATGGGCTACTTCACCTTGAATAGTCTCTTAGAATATGTGTTAAATACATACGCTAAACTATTTGTTTGATCTTGTATTTAGCTGTAACAATGAGGAGTCCTTGTGGCACATTAGAGACTAACAAATTTATTTGTGCATAAGCTTTTGTGGGCTAGAACCCACTTTATCAGATGCATGGAGTGGAAAATACAGTAGCAGGTGTGTGTATACGTACACACACAAATAGATAGTACATGAAAAGATGGTGTTGCCTTACCAAGGGGGGTGGGGGGTCAGTCTAATGAGAAGTCAATTAACAGTAGACTACCAAGGGAGGAAAAATCACTTTTGTAGTGGTAATGAGGGTGGCCCATTTCAAACAGTTGACAACAAGGTGTGAGTAACAGTAGGGGGAAATTAGTATGATAAAATTAGTTTTTGTAATGTATTCTACTGTTAATTGAATTCTCGTTAGACTGACCTCCCCACCCCTTGGTAAGGCAAGTCCCATCTTCTCATGTACTGTGTGTGTGTGTGTGTGTGTGTGTATAACCTGCTACTGTATCTTCCACTCCATTCATCTGATGAAGTGGGTTCTAGCCCATGAAAGCTTATGCCCAAATAAATTTGTTAGTCTCTAAGGTGCAACAAGGACTCCTCATCTGTTTTTGCTGATACAGACTAACACGGCTACCCCTCTGAAACCTGTATTTAGCTGTGACACTGTGTACCTTTCCCAGACCTGGGGAAGAGCTCTGTGTAGCTGGAAAGCCAGTCTCTCTCATCAACAGAAGTTGGTCCAATAAAAGATATTTCCCCACCCACCTTGTCTCTGATTTTGTAGGCATTTCTGTGGTGTTCTCTGCCACAGTTTCTCTCCATTTGCACGCTGTAAATGTGAGCAGTTGTCTGTTATAGCAAAATGTGTGGTTTATAAATTTTATAGTTAATATTATGTTGAGACTTTCATTATAAAACTTTACCTCCCTTTTAGCTTTCTGAAAATCTTTAGATACGATTTTCTGTATGTGTTCTCAGGCTGTAGGTGAATTTGGGGAGAGGGGGCTGAAAGAGAATATGGAGCAAAATCTATTCACTTTTTGAGATGAAAGGTTAGAGGGAGGACTTTTCTGGTGTAAGATTTTATGCAGTTATAATGAACATGTTACTCGCTGCTGAATTTCTCAAGTTGAAACTTGGCAATTAGTTCTTACCAAGGATTACAGCACGTTCTCTCCCCCCCCCCCCCCCCACCCCCCAAAAAAAAAAAAAAAAAAAAGAAAAGTAACTTTTACACATGCAATACAAAATTCCTAGTATATTTAGAGCTATGGGACTGAAATAGTCCAGCCTACAAAGTTTTACTTTCTCCTTCAAGTTGAAAAGTAATTTAACAGTGAGGGGTAACTAACCAGTGGAACAATTTACCAAGGGTTGTGGTAGATTGTACATCACTGGCAATCTTTAAACCAAAATTGGATGTTTGTTTTTCTAAGATATTCTCTAGGCATAACTTCAGGGAAGTTTTCTAGCTGGTGTTATTCAGGAGATCAGAATAGATTATCACAATGGTCCCTTCTGGCTTTGGAATCTATAAATCTGTGAAAAATCAGTTTTGATGAGTAAGAACAGATCCAGGAATTTATGGGGTTTTATATAAATGTTGGCAGTTATGGAACAGTTTTGAGAGGAAGACTGAATTCTGGGTACTGTGTGTAGGTGGGCTGCTTGGGGGGAGTGTGGTGGTGGGCGGGGGAGCTGCATACCTATACTATTACCTCTAATTTTTCCCACCCAGGTGCGGAATGAATTTTATGTGCACCACTGTTGAGGTGATGTGACACATCACCTTCATATCGGTCGGTGCACATAACAATTCATGGGGTGGGAGTGAGGCCGAGGGGTTTGGAGTGTGGGAGAGGGCTCAGGGCTGGGGCAGAGGGTTGGGTGCAGGGGTGTGAGGACTCTGACTGGGGGTGCAGGCTCTGGGATGGGGCTGGGGATGAGGGGTGCAGGAGGGTGCTCTGGGGCTATGGTGGGGTGAGGACTCCCGCACAGCTCTCTCTTCCTCACAGCAGCACCTGGGCTGGGGGGAAAAGCATCTCTTCCCCGCCGCAGCAGCTCCGAGGCTAGGGCCGCAGGATAGGCGCTCCTCCCCCAGCCCCCGCAGGTCCGGGCTGGGGCCAAGCCAGGGGAGGGGCCCCGGGGCCCAGGCCGTGGCATAGTTGGGGCCGGAGGGCCACTGCGGCAGATTGGGGGTTGGGTTAGGTTGGGGCCAGGGGAGAGGGGCGTCCTGGCCTCAGCAGGTCCCCGGGCGGGTTCCCTGAGCGTCTGCATAGCGCTAAATAGGCTGCTGTGCAGCTTATAGGGACCTTAGCTGGGGAGTCCAAGATGAATACCTGTTTTCAAGGCCTTAACATCTGTGGGATCATCTAACTGCGAGAGCCCATAGGAGCCTGCAATTGTCATCTCTAGTGCAATGCAATTCCACTTACCTCCTCCAGTAGCATCACTGAGAAGCAGCAGGCTTGTTCTTTCCCCTTAAGATTCTTCAATAAGCTTTTACCTGCACTTCTTCCATTTGGGAATGAAACGGCATGATGCGTTCTACTCCCCACTTAGCTCATTAAGGGAGACTGTAGGCTTCTTGTTTGATTTTGTTCTTTGTCTTAGAGACTAGTCTGGAGTGTTCTAGTCCCCAGAAAAAATAATTATCCATAAATCAAAATCCCTCACTGTTTGGTGTAATGACTGGCAGGATTCTTGACCAGCAATGAAAAGAGGGCTGTCCTGCAGCCAAATTCCCTTGCCTGTCCTATCTGGACCTCTTCCCTGCTGCCTTTTCACTGCCTGTACTCTTAAATTGTCTGAACATTTAGTGGCATAAGCACATAAATGGCTCGAAATCCCTGATGTAATGTTTTAGGGCAGCATAAGTGCTGACCACATCCATTGAGAAGTTTGCATTTATGAAGGAACTTACACTTCTAAGTCCTTTGGCCTCACTGGTACTTACTGGCATACATTAAATGGGGTGCACTTCACATGTACGTACGTAGGAAGCACATCTACATATGAACAGTGACTGACGTGTTCTTCAGTCCAGTCCCAGGATATTGGAGCTTACACAGAACTCTTCTTCAGGTCTGGGCTGAAGCTGGGCCAATAAAAAAATATTGCCTCACCCACATTGTGTCTCGAACACTGACTGAATACAGTTTTCTATTGTGGGAGTGTAGTAGCTAATTTTCTATTGTTCACAACTTTATTATATAACCATACCTAGTGGCTGATCTACTCAATGAGAGCTACTACCTCTACATGCCAAGTCTCAAAATCCATCTTGTAAATTTCATAGCATGTGGAGGGACTGTGGTGAACTCAATCAACTCAGACAGTTTTGTGTTCCAGTTGGGAGAGGAGAGGAATTCAGGAAAGGAAATTTCAGCCTGCAAGTTTTTGACCATATGAAAATAAGGTTAATGAAACTTGTTTTGCAATCTTAACTATATTATCCACTAACAAGTGATTACTATAATACAAATTCTGAAATATTCCATATAGCTAGGGCAGTTATAATAATGAACCTCTTTACTTGGCAGGATAACTGTGAACCTTTTTTCCTGTCTTCATTGAGTTCCTCTGTAATTCTGTCTTTCTAGCCTGGAAGGGTTGTGAGCTTTATTCCAAAATACTTGGCCTAGTAAGCCTGCAAAATGTTCAGTTTTTAAAAAATTATGCAGCTATTAAGAAGCCTCAATATGGTCCTGTTGATTCAATTTTTTGTAGTTCTCACTATTGTTAAATACAGTTCACATCTCATGATTAAGTAGCTGATTTTTAGATTTTTTTTCTCTAATCTAAAATTGTAAGCATTATTAGGGAATCTAGTTGGAATAAGTACATCTTTCTTAATAGAAATAAAAACTTCCGGGGAAGAGAGGGTATGCTCCCTTAGCTATGTGTGATCAGCTCTCATTAGCATTGATTAACTTATACAAACTGTCTCCACTTTCCCCTTTGCCCACTGTTAGGAATATAGCTTTTGTAAAAGTGTGGTGTTTTCCAATGATGCTTAATTAAAAGTTTGACTAGAATTTTTCTTTTTTAGGTTCATGTTGGGGAGAGGCCTAAAACGCAAGCTGAGTGACTATGAGGAGAACATGGCTGGTCTCTCAAGTGCCTTTGATTCCAGTCGAAATCTGCCATATCCACTTAAGAGGCAGTTAGTGCTGAATATGTGCCTCACTAAACTACAAACTTACAAAATGCTGGTGGAACCAAACTTGCACCGTTCTGTGCTCATAGCCAACACAGTAAGGCAAATTCAGGAGGAAATGAGACAAGAGAGCCAGCAGCCAATTAATGTATGTAATGGCATTGCTCCCAATCCTCCCAGCTACCCAGGAATTGATTCATCTGGAATTTCTTTACATTTGCCTTCAGGTAGCAGCCAGCAAGAGTCTAACGGTTGTAACTCGTGGTCTGCAGAAGGCCCAATTGAAAATAGCCTGCTGATGGTTTCAGATGATGACATGTCATCTGCCATTTCATCTATTCTGAAGGATTTGGACTTCATGGAAGATATAAGTCCACCTACTTCTTTGGTTCCAGCTGGAGATGATGAGCCGCCGAAGTCTCCAGAAAACACATGTCTAAAACTAGAAGATGATAGACAAGATTTGAAGGGAGCTGAATGTGTTTTTGGTTCCTTTGAAATTTCAAATTCAACCAGTTACTTAAAAGATTTGGCTATAGATGACATCTTTGAAGATATTGACACTTCAATGTATGATTCAGACTTCTGCTCTCCCCCACTAATGGCACCTAGACCACCTTCTGCTGCTACAGAAGAAACATTGAAAACCTTCCCATCTTGCAATTCTTCCTCAACAAACAATATTCCGATATGTAGAACAGATCTGAGTGAGTTGGACCATATCATGGAAATTCTTGTTGGATCTTGATATTTATTTTTTAACCAAAGATGCTTTCTGTGCTGCCACTTATCATTGGTTTGAGGATAAAGCCACTGGGAAAGCTGCAAGGAATTTCTTTTAAAACAAAACACAGTTGTCCATGAGTAGTTCTTAAAATGTCTGTTATAAATCAAAAAAATGGCAGTTTTTTAAATGAAATTATTTATTTGACAAATTGTGCAATCATCTTTTTCCTTCTGGGGGTGCGTGTGTGTATTGACATAAAAACATATGCACGTATCCTTACCCGCCACCCCTCCCCCCTTTGAATAAATGTTTATGTGCAATTTTTAATTTGTCAGAAGAATTTACATACAAAATGAATTTCAAATGGGAATCTCTGATGAAGCCTAGATTTTATTTTTAATATTAAAATACATGCCAAGTTGGCATACATTGGAGTTGCATATTTGGATTGTGCAAATCCATCAGCATTACTAGAGATATAGATATATTTTAAAAATATTAAAACAAATGTCACTTCCCTTTGGTCGGAAAAGCAGACTCAAGACACTTGTCAGTGAAGTACCTTGCATTTTCTAAAGCATTCAGAACTATTTATTTTTGTAAATTTTATAGTCTTTCTACATTTTACTACATTATTTCATCATAATACAAATATAATGTATTTCTAGCTGGATGTGGCTAGTACTACCTCTATAAGCTGAAATGCTTTGACTCTTTCCAGTGCTTTGTCTAAGAATGCAAGTTTTGTTTCTCCATTGTATTTTTCTGGTGGGGGGGGAAAAACATTTTTAATTAATTAATTAGATCCTTTGTTTGACAGTGACCTAACTGATTTGTGAAATTAAGAGTATTAAATGTTTAAAATTTCTACAAGTATTTGCAAATGTAATTTATATGTATATTGTCCAATTTAACATTTTCTGTCAGTATTATGTGCTTAGATTTTAAATAATCTTGGCATTCTTTAAATTAGCATTTACTGTACAGATAGCTTTTTATTCTGTTTGGAGAACACCATATGTCTTCTCAGTCCTGTTTTCACTACAACGCTTTTTTTAATGTGCAATATTACTTACAGATACATATTTGCACAGATGACATTGTAGAAAGAAATGCTTTAAATTTAAACTTGTAAAGTAGCACCTTGGGAAAGGTACCTGAAGAGCCAGTGTCTCTGTATTCTTTTAAGAAATGAGTTGAGCATTTCTTATAGTACCAACATTTACTGTTTTGAATACTCCTGAAATGTTCTTGTAAATGTGGTGGGTCATTTCTGATGACTAAGTACTGTCTTGTGAAAGCTCGGGGGTCAGCTCACTCTGATGCAGTTGCAGGACTGGGGCCTAAGTGTGCTGAAAGAGGTTTTTCAAGTACGGAACAGAAGGGTTTGGTGGGTTTTTCCTTACATTATTAATTGAAGATGAGGTTTGTAGTGAGAACTGTTGCTCCATGTGATAGTGGGAAATAAATTTTCCCTCACTGGGGTCTTTATTAACCTCTGGAGTTGCTTTCTAAACTATACGACACTAGTTTTCACTTGAAACTGTAAAACTGTTTCAGTATACCCATTAACGTTGCAGTACACGTAGGGCAAAAAAGTTTATAGTGAGTTTTAAAAGCTCCCATAGTTCATCTCACAGTCTCGCCATTTCCCATGTCATTCCCTTTTTCAGCCAGTAGCAGAAGTTTAGCAGCAATAATGTCTATTTTGGATAAAGATAATTTTTACTCTTTTTAGTATGAACTTGCTCATGTTCACTTCAATGTCTTTTGCTCAGAGCACTGCTTAGATCTCCCCTAGCACCCCTCAACGTGTTTAAGTGTTTGCTTTTGTTCCATTCTTTAATTTTTTGTGGGTGCAGTATCTGCAAAGAATATGAAGAGCAAGAAAATGTGCCCTAAGTGTTGCATCTCAAAAACAAGAGGGGAAGTCCTGGTCTTGCAGAACAATGGGAGTTTTGCTATTCACTTCAGATGGGCCAGTATTTCACCTGGGATCTTTAGTCTTAAATATGCTGCAGCGTCTGTTATCCTGTGCTAAGATCTCCATTTCAGACCATGTGCATTCCCCAGTTAATAGTCTGTCCCCCAAAACTGTGCAGACCCAGTTTAGGTCACATTCGCTCAGCCATCTGGATTGTTTGGCAGTTGAAGGGTATAAATATATGCGCTCAATGTTAATGGTTCTAATAATTAATCTAGAAATTCTGATGGTATAAAACATTCTAAAACATTGGATAAGGGATTAGTTGGGAAAATGTATAAATAGCTACTGAGACGGTACAGCTTCAGAATGTAGACAGACTGCATTGTGTATAGACTATTCTGGCTTTTCCTCAATCTCTACTTTTGTATGTAAAGATATGCCTCAATAAATCCTTGAAATATTACTGTCCTTCCACACTGTGATGAAGCAGAATTGTGGTTAAAGATATTTTTAATTTTGGTCACCGAAATAAAAATTGTATCTTAATTTCTTGTTTGCATTCGCAAATGTGGAATTTGACAATGCAGTAAATAACACCCTTTTTTGTTCAATATTACATTCATACCATGTAGCAAATCGTGTTAACTTTAATATGTTCCCACCATATTCACCACCCTGCTCTGCAGAAACATAAGAGGTTGGGGGAATTAACTTCACATGCAATTGCTGTAAACTAATTTCTTATACACTTTGGTAATTCAGACAAATTGTTGAATACAGTAGATGACACTTCACTCTTTCTGTTGGTCATAGAGCTCTTGCCATTAAACTCTAATTCCTAACTGGTTGCTTAGTATCCCAGTGCCAAAACCATAAGCTGATATGTAATGCAGTATGGGTGATGTGGTATTTTGTGTAAAAGGAAAGTGTTTTTATTTTAATTATGCACAAGTTAATTTTAATTCAGTATAAAATAAAATCAGATTCTAGTCTATTCAGTTGTTTAGGGAAAAAATGCAATAACCTTTCAATTTAGCCATAATTTCATGAAGTTTCCAGTATATGAGTAACAAATTTACCAACCTTGCCAGTATTCATTGAACTAATGAAGATGCAAAATAAATGTTTCCCTAACAGATTGCTTTTGGGAATAACAGTTTAATAAGAGAACTTGCCTATCGCTTCACACCCAGGCCCCATCTCTCTAAAGCAGGGGTCGGCAACCTACAGCACATGTGCCAAACATGGCACGCGAGCCGATTTTGAGTGGCATGCCCCCCGCCCCACTCAGCCCCCCCGCCCACCGCTCTCCCCTGCAGGGACAGGAGGCAAAAGCTTGGTCCTGTGGCAGCCAAGCTTCCCCCCTCCCCTGTTTCTTCCCACAGCTTGGTGCATTCCGGCCCCTCCTCCCCCTCCCTCTCCCTGCTGGCGATAGCCCTTGCGAGGGGGAGGGGGAGGGAGAGCGGAGCAGAGCCGAGCGGCAGCGTGCTCGCTGCTCCGTAGAGCAGGCAGAGAGAGGTAGGGATGGGCCTTGGGGAAGGGGGTGGAACCGGGCATATCCCTCCCAGCCCCCTGCCATGAGCTGCTCAGGGCAGGGGGCTGGGAGCACCCCCACAAGCTGAGCACCCCAGTCTTCTGCCCTGCACCCCCCCACACACCCCAGCCCTCTGCCCTGACCTCGAGTCGCCCCAACACCCAGCCCTCTGCCCTGCACCTCCACACACCCCCCAGCCCTCTGCCCTGACCTCGAGTCGCCCCCAACACCCAGCCCTCTGCCCTTACCTCTGAATCCCCCGCCACGCACCCAGCCTTCTGCCCTGCACCCTCTGCCCTGACCCCTGAACTCCCACCCAGGTCTGGGGTCCTGGCTGCTGGCCCCTTGCCAGCTGGGGTCCCGGCTGCCGGCCCCGCTCAGCCCGCTGCAGGCCTAGGTGAACAGAACCCCAGTCTGGAAGCGGGCTGAGCAGGCTGGCGGCGTAAGATCAGCATTTTAATTTAATTTTAAATGAAGCTTCTTAAACATTTTGAAAACCTTGTTTACTTTACATAACAATAGTTTAGTTATATAATATAGACTTAGAGAGACCTTCTAAAAAATTTTAACATGTATTACCGGCACGCGAAACCTTAAATTAAAGTGAATAAATGAAGACTCGGCACACCACTTCTGAAAGGTTGCCTACCCCTGCTCTAAAGCCACATCTCTACAGAACAGTGGTAGTTGGGTATGGCAATTCCTCCAAAGTCAGTGTGCTGGGAAAAGCCTCACTGCTGTTGATAGTCAAACATCACTTTCCTACCAGTATTAAATGTAGTTTCCCCTGTCTAAACAAATGTACAGCAGTTTTCAATGTAGTTTGCAGGAAACAAGATGCACTGTTTTTCTTGGTGGAAATACAACTGAGATCTGAGGCTCCTATCTGTGTATGGGGACTAATAGTGCTCTTAACTCAGCATTCATGGAAGGTAGCTGTCATCCAGTGGGAGAACAGACCCCATTGATGGGGAATATATCTTTGAATGAGCTTATTAGTTTAAAAATAACCTCTTCAGAGTAACTTCTCTTATTGGTGAGTTGGGATATGTTAGAGTATGCTGTGCCTTAAAAATGTTGACTGTGTAAGTTGTCCTGCTGATACCCTGATATGAAATATTCTGTAAGAAATATGGATAAAATTGCTTTCAGACACCTAATCATGTGTTCTTACCACAAAAGAAATAACTGCCTTTACACAGGTTATGGAATTTAGTTTATTAAACAGATTTATAAAGCACTCATTTGCTTAAAAAGTGCAGTTGTACTCTGAGAAGTGACTAAATAAAAATGGCTCTGTGGGGTTTGACATTGGTGTCCATGTTCTCCCCCAAAATAAGGTTACTAATTACAGGTAAAAATGTCTGTCTGCCATAAATGCATCCTGGACTTTAAGAGCCTGGTCCCTCTCTCATTGAAGTCAAATCTGGGTTCTTCTCATGAATCGCTACCAACAATGGATTCTGCAAGCCAAATTGGGCCTTCAGTGATGAGTGCACAGGTGTAGGTGATCGGGATTTAATAAACAACTTGTTGAATCCAGCTCACTTCCGGTTGTGTGGCCTCTGTAGTGGTAACTGATGTAGTAAAAGTCCAGGGAATACTTGGTGTTCATTCTTTTAAAAAGATCAGCAATTGTCTACAGATACCGTACCTTAAAATCACTGCAGTTGCTTCCTGTTCTATGTATAGGGTATCTCAAAAAGTGTGTGATAACTCTTAAAAGGAGCTCAGATACTCCAATGATCTTATAAAAAATTTTGAGAAAATAGTCAAATACTATTTGGCTTTTTAGATGTCCACATAGCTAAACAAAGATTGTAGTGGTACATCACTTGTATTTAGCTTTTTACACTCATTGAGAGATTGCAGATCTGGAGGCATAAAGCTGAGCTTTAAATTTATTTTAAGGACAATAACATCTTCAGTGCAGTGACTTGATTACAGTCTAGACCAGTGGTTCTCAAACTAGGGCCACCGCTTGTTCAGGGAAAGCCCCTGGCGGGGCCGGGCCGGTTTGTTTACTTGCCGCATCCGCAGGTTCGGCCGATCGTAGCTCCCACTGGCCGCGGTTCGCTGCTCCAGGCCAATGAGGGCTGCAGGAAGCGGCATGGGCCAAGAGACGTGCTGGCCGCCCTTCCCGCAGCCCCCATTGGCCTGGAGCGGCGAACCATGGCCAGTGGGAGCCGCGATCGGTCAAACCTGCGGACGCGGCAGGTAAACAAACCGGCCCGGCCCGCCAGGGGCTTTCCCTGAACAAGCGGCGGCCCTAGTTTGAGAACCACTGGTCTAGAACAGTGGTTCTTCACCTATTTACCATTGTGG